ATATATATATATATTCACCTTTTCCTTTTTTTAATGTGCGTTATAAAATAGAGGAGGCCAATTAAAGAGAATGAAGAGAAAAATATAGCAAGTCAATGACACTATCATTTACATATCGGAGCTTCACAAAATAGGAGAATAGAATAAGAATAATACTACAAGATTATATATAAGCAATGAACAGTAGTGCAATATTATTAACAGAGAAAAAATAGAGAAGATAGAAGCATAGAGAAAAAAAAAATGAAAAATTCACTTGGAAATTCTTGAAACACTTGAAAAGTCACTTCAAACAATCATTCAAAATCTGATGAGTTTGAATAGGATTGTTTTATGAATTTGGTATTTATAGATAACACTAGAAAGTCCTTCAAAATCTCTCTAATATAACAATCCTTTAAAATTCTTATATTTTTGAATATCAATGGATTGTTTTTTAATTGTAAAAAATCTCAAATGAATACCAATAAATTTTAATGGACTCTTTAAAAAACCTTGAAAATCTAGATTGAATATCATTGGATTGTTTTTAAGTGACATAAAATCTTGATTGAATACCAACATACTTTTTTACTCAAAAAAAATATTTTAAAATCATATGAAATTCTAAACCAATACATCCCCTAATAATTGATTCATGCTTTTAACTTAAGAATTAATATAAATTGAATTATACTGCAATATTTTCTTTTCGTCACATAACAAGTGTCGATTTTATGTTATTTTAAATAAATAAATAAAAAAGATAAAATAAAATAATAATTTTATAAAATTAATTTTTTAGTTAATCTTTTATACTTAAAATGATGCAACGTATTCACTTTCTAAATAATTTCATGAAGAGTATAACTGAAAAAAGATAATTAATATTATATATAAATTACCTTTTTATTTATTTTATAATGATTGAATTTTTTTACTTTTAAAAATTTAATACATTTTTTTTCTTATATTTCTTTATCTATATTGATTTTAACGATTCATTTTAAAAAATATGAAAAATTAAAATTAAGTTTATGTTATAATTTAATTTATTGATTATAAATATAAAATAAAATTATATATTTGATTAGTTATTATTATAAACTTTAGTTATAATATAGCTTATATATTAAAATAATAATTTATAGAAATTTAATTATATAAAAAGCAAGTATGCATCTTATACTATTTGCAGATTAAATTATTAATTAAAAAATTATAGAAAAATTACATTAAAACAATCAAAAGCTTATGAGAGACAAGTGTGTATTACATTATTTGAACCTATCAGGTGATTATGATCCAGACCAATATTCATATAACATAAAATGAAGATTTTTTTTTTTAATTTATATAAAAGCATGACTCATTTACAAATATAGATCACAATCTTAATTAACCGTCCGAAAAATAATTTCTCGTTGACAAGATCATTAGCATGACCCAACAAACAAAAAAACAAATTAAAAGTTGAACATTTCTGAAGGTCATTGTCTGCGTAGAAAATAAGTTTTCTAATATATTCTCTCAGATCTTTTATATATATATATATATATATATATACAGTTCTAATTAGCA